CTTTCGGACAACACTAGTCCTTCCTCAGTGGCGAGTGAGTGAGGGTAGAAAAAGCTAGATGGTATAAAGTGAGAATTTCATGCAAGCATGATTGGAAACAATAGGCTGGGTGAGATTAGAATAAACATCCTAAACAAGTAAACAGGAAGGCCAAAACTAAACTATAGAGGCAAGCCTCAATAAATAAGCCAAATGATTTATCCAGAATAAATTTTCGTTAAGGGTCTATGCTGATGCGAGAACAACATCTTAAGTTCATACCCAAACACCGTTGTTATTCATTTATTTCTATATAGCGAGAACAACATCTTAAGTTCATACCCAAACACCGTTGTTATTCATTTATTTCTATATATATAGAAATAAATGAATAACAACGGTGTTTGGGTATGAACTTACGATGTTGTTCTCGCATCAGCATAGACCCTTAACGAAAATTCTTTTTTTTTTTGTATGGTGGTTGAATTTTGCCTATCCCTCTATACTCAAAAAATGCCTGTAGAACAACCATGAGTTTAAAATGTCACTGGGCAACACAACACCTGTTTTCTAGCCTGATAATAAATGGCATTGTCATCACTACCATAATAGTTTTCTCGTCACCGTCACCATCATCAAAATCATTATCATTATCAACATCGTCGTCACCACCATCATAATCATCGTCAGCATCATCATCTTCATCATAACCATCGTCAGCATCACCATCATCATCATAATTATCGTCTGCACCATTATCATCACCATCAATCATCAACATTTGGTTGATAATGATTTTGTAATTTGAGATGACAGAATAATGATGATAATGGTCATGAATTCGTGGTGAAGATTATTTTGCTGTTGAATATGAATACTTACCGCAATATAGACCATAAATACACGCTTCAGCCAACATTGCCCCTATAAATTGTGCCGACAGGTAAACCACCATATCATTCCACTTCATTTTACCAAAGCACCAGAACAATACAGTCAGTGCTAGATTTAAATAGCCAACTGCAACAACAACAAACCCAAACTGTCTTAAACGTAGATCCGGTGCTACGCTAAAAAATATTTAAAAAGTTATCTATATTGAGCCATGCGTGCAAGATAAGACGCATGCATTTTGCCAGACATTCCAATCTACGGTCCTTCAAATTTGGGACACAATGGTTGGCTTTTGAGGGGCACCTGATCGCCCATCATGGAACTGTGTTGAAAATATCGCCTTAGTACAACGGAAAACCAAATCGGGAGAGTTGAAACAATTTCAGTGATTTAGTTTAACTACTTGATCAGGCGTGGATTTCGGGGTGGGGACGGCCTTAGCCCCCTTTTGGAAAGTTGAAAAAAAAAGAAAGTTATTGATCGTCCAAAACGCAGCAGAGGTTATTTCCGGTCGTTCAGAAACAAACATTTTCCTGGAGACCCCACCCCGGGTATTGTTTGTCTCTTGATCACCCTTCCCTTTTCGGACAAATCTGGATCCGCCCCTGTTGATGTATAATACGGTACATCTAATTTTCATACCATTTTCAATACAGGTGTACAAGCCAATGGTGTAGCCGAAAGCAATTCCAACGTTGATGTACAAGATTTCACTGGAATCATAGGTAGAATTTGTGAAAACGTCGCTGGAATCCTTGTTAAATGTTACACTGGCAACCGTACTACTTGCTATTAACTGCAAATATAATGTTCGTTAATGTACTTTATTCAATGACATGTGGTATGCTTTGGTATCATCAATACATATTTGTCACTTACTACATGTCGCTATGATAGATTCTGGTTTGTAGAATATCGCGTATTGACGGCTGTTTCAGTTGCTATAAACTGCAAAGGTAATTTATTGACATAGGGACCGTTTTTAATTCACTTGTTTGAAGGGCCAAAATATTTTTAGAGTTGATCTCACTGGCCAAAGAGTGGAAGCAGTCGTTTTTAATTGATTCAATTCTGGGGAACGTGTCATCAGTTTAAGATTTGGAGGGTCACATTAGTAATATGATTGATTCCAATAATAAAGCCAGGTTTAGAGTATCGACACAATTTTTTAATGGAATAACAAATATTAGTATTGCCTGTAACATTTGGTAACTATTTTCCGCATTGTAAGCGATGTCCTTTATATTTTTATGATCACTGTTCTTGGTACACGTTTTTATTTTTATTACAATCTAAAGTTCAAACGCTATTTACGAAATACAGTGTACAGAAGAAACCAGAGACAAAACTTAGCGACACATAAGGCCTATTATATCTTGCTGAGTTTCGAAACTAAGCTGTTTTCCCTGAAGTTTTTGTCTTTACTTTGAATTTATCGAATAAAAACGTGGTTAAATGCTTAGTTTAAGGAGTAGGATTAGCACGTCTTTATGGTTTAAGTATTACTTTCTTGGTCCGTTTTGCTTTCATGTTCATGTCAAGCGCATAGATGTGTCCACAATATGCGCTTTGTAAGTCGACCATTATTATATTATTAATTTGTTTTAAATATTTCTTTTTTTTCAGCGTGTCAAATTAAATTATTTTGCGGGTTAAATTTGGCCCGCGGGTACTAAACATTCAACGTTTAGTTATAATCATTCGACAAGATGAAGACAAAAATTCAACCCTGTCATAACAACTTTATGGGAAAACAACTTGGTTTCGAAACTGTGCAAGCTATAATAGTATAAATAGGCAATAAATAGAATATAGGCCTACGCACATATACACCGACTATATGTGCCGCCAAATTTTTTTCACTGTGTTTTATCAGTACAGTAGTGTTCGAACTTCATTTTCATTGTTAATAAAAAACTTGTACCAAGAAAAGTTCTCATAAAAACACAAAGGCCATCGCGAACAATGCGGAAATAGTTTACCAAACGTTATAGGTAAAATTAATGTTCATGCTAGTTGCATTTAAAAAAAGTGTGTCTACACTCTAAACCTGGGCTTTATTATTAGGATCAATCATAGGTAAAGCGACCCTCCAAAGATTATATTTGGCCCGTGAGACCAACTCTAAAACTATTTTGGCCTTTCAATAAATTAATTAAAAACCAGGGGCCAAAAATACGCAGAAAAGTACAGGGAATTATCTCTTGATGTATTGAACTTCGTGGGCCATCTATGTTGTGTTTTACACCGAAGACATTCAATCGAATTACATCCATCTTTAAATTCTTTCTTTTATTTCATATTTCGCTTCTATCGCATTATCTAGCCGTTTTGACATGATTAAAACATTCTTTTTTTTTTAATAGCTTGGCATGTTTGGGCAAAAAGCAGTGCATAGTGTTTTTGTGCAATGCAATTGAACAAAAGCCTTTTGGCATAAAAACAAATTGTATCAAAAGTTCAAATATACAGTACAATATAATTGGGAAAAAGTGGTAAATAGTCAGTACCTGTTCATATTTTTTATTTGCAGTGCAAACGACTCTGATGTCGACTACATAATTCTTCTGGCCTATAGAACATAGGCCTAGGCTATAATTTTGGTTTTATTGTTGTGCGTTATGTGCCGGTAGTTGACTTTTAATCCCATGACTGGCCGCTTATCGTACATGTGTACACAACTGTAATCGACGACAAACAGCCAGGCAGGTCGAAGTACGTCAGTAAAAAAATAATGACGGTGACGATAAGGATATTTTTTTCATGGAAACAGTTTATAATTTGATAAATATGTTTGATATGTCTGCACAACAATAGAATATATAGAACTTAAGTTCTAAATAAATAAATGAATGAGTATGCACATGAATATGTACAATCTCAGTTTGATAAGTTACCAGCAGACTAATGGAGATACGCAAGGGCGTCGATCCGTGGTTGAAAGTGGGGGTGGGGGGGGGAACGAAATGAAAAATAAAGCCTTGCGCCGTAGGACCAAGCCTTGGTTGGGGAACAGGGGGCGAAGCCCCCGGAAGCTCTGGCGCATATAGCCTTTTAATTGATTTTAAGCAATGCAATTAACGTTTATTTCCATACGCAATTTTCAAAATATCCAGTAATTTGAAATAGAGATGGGCCCAGAGAGGGACTTTTACAGATGGAGAGTGTAGCTGGACTAAAACCTCAGCCCCACCATGGTTGAAGAAAATTTATTATTATGGCATCTCTAGTTGGTCGGAAATGGCACTCTCAGACTGAATTTGAATATAATTTTAACTTTTCTAAAATTTTAAGTTAAAAAAAAAAAAAAAAAATTATGAATGATGGCGCGGCTGGGCCCCTTTGAATCTGCCACTGAAATTCCCATCATAAAAAGTTTTTTTAAATTAACCTTTTACTCATAATTATGCCCGCTTATATATTTCGTGCAAATTAATATTCATAAAAATAATGATTTATTATCTACTGATTAGCTTGTAACGTATTCAAAATTCGAACTATGCAAAAAACAAATAAGATTAACTTAAAACAGTCATTAATTTAGTCTTTTGCATGTACAGTACTTTTAAAATCAATCAAGAGGTTTTTGCTTTTTACCTCTTTTTGAATTTTGCTTTTGTGTAAGTTATTGCGACCAAACTATTGTGAGTGGAAATAATACCGTCTAATTTACGATCAAACAGGACTAGGGAGATAGGGAGCACGCAAAACATTAGTTAACATTTTGATTTCACAAACATAAAGGTGATTTCTTAATGTATTATTATTAGTGGTGGCTCCAGGAAAGCAAATTAGAGGGGGGGACAGGGAGGGACTTGTACGTTGGGAAAGTAGAGCACCTCAGCCCCACCATGGTTGGGGCTGAGTGAAAAAAAAATTATGATTAGGACACCTCTAGATTGCCGGAAATGGCACTCTCAGACCTTAATTCTAACTATAATTTACTTTGTTTTTTCCTTTTTTTAAAAATAATTTTGAAAAATTTATGGTCGGCTCGGCCCCACTTAATCGAATCCGCCACTGATTATTATGAAGTCATTGCGAGATTTCGTAACACTGGAGTTTGTAAACTTTTGGTAGGCCTATCACTTAATCGGAATAGATAGACATATCCGTGTCAAAGGCTGTATAATTATTGTTTAATAATGGTTATATGAAATTCAATTGACGACCTATGATTTTTTGAAATTAGGAAAAACAGTAATCATATGTATGAAGGAATTATAAAAACCCTAGTATATACGTACGGGTCATAATAATATACAAAAGGAATAAATCGTTTATAGTAGAAATTGTGCACTTTTGAGTTTGTAAAAATATTGGCCTAATAAGTATACATGCTTCCAATTTTAACAACGTTCAGTACATTGTTTTCACAATAAATTTAACCGATCTAGTGGTTTTTTGAGATGGTTATGAAATGTATAAACAATTACGTTTTTACTCGGTTTTGGTCCGAAAAATACGTACCGCACATAGAAAAGTGAACAGACAAAATTCATGAGTCATGCGTAATTGTTATTCTTTCCATTCGCTTTTATAAGTGGGGTTTTAATTATAGAACATTGGTGAAAAGTGGGGGGGGGGGGGCAATCGATATGATGTCCCCCTACTTTGAAAAGTGGGGGGGGGACGCGTTCCCCTGTCCCCACCGATCGACGCCCATGGAGATACGTATTCATCGTATATCGTATTTGTATAACTATATATAAAAAAAACATTATAAACTTGATGCACTTTTCAGGTATAACATTGAGCCATACTCGGTAAACATTATTCGGATTGCGCAGATTATAGCACGAACACATTTCAAGGTAGTGGAACCGTATAATATAAGGCTACTGAAAACAAAAACAACAGCTTTATGAAAATCAAATCGTATACCAAAAACAGTGTTCCATTATTCTCGTCAAAGTTTCATCACATTATTTAAGGGAAACTTTCAGCAAACTTAGAATATAAAGATGCCATTTGCCTACCCAACTCCCTGGTCTACCCAAGCAGGAGGTATATAAAAACATTCAATCATAAGCTTATATGATACGACAAGGGTAAAATACAACTTTATAAATAACAATTTCATTTTACGATAGGCCTATCTTTTAAAGCCTGATAAACTCGTATCGTTTAGCTGAATCTCGATTCGTATATCTGAACCCGGGGTTCAGATAGGTGGCAGTGAGAAAAAAGACGCTGCCACCCTCAAACATCACCCTTCCGCCAACCACCAGGAAATCCCTGGCACCAATGCGGGGGGGGGGGGGGAATCATTCAATCACAACTGATTGTGGCCCCAACTAGACGTGGGCCTGTCCAAGTAAGGCATATAACAAAATATTCAATTAACTTACAACGAAGGCGAACATCCCAAGGAGTTCAGATAACAATTTTCGCAGCAATGGTAAATTTGTACAACTAAATCGTTCAAAATGTTTTTCGTACCGCAAACCCATTTTGGTAGTTATGCCCTATGCTTGTTTTTATTTTAAAAAGATTACAGTTTTGTGTTGCGGATTTTTACTTCAACTAAGCACAATGTAAAGGTATTGTACTTTGACCTTGCCTCTGGCGGGCGGGGCCCTGTTTTCATCCAATAAATACATTAGTATTAGTTTAACCACTCGGTCTTTGCGCAATGTGTGATCACCTTTTATATTTGAACCGCGATTGTTGATGACATAATCAATGTTAAAAATATTGAATCCCGACACGATGACGTGCATTTCGATATTTGGAGTATGTATTATACTATCATATCTGCGATTGAGTGAATGCCTTTTATTTAGGCAAGTTCTCAAACTATTTTGTGCAGGTTTCCATGAAGGCCATATCTACCTACCAATCAACATTATCCAAAGCCTTCGGCGTGTAGAGATTGTATGGAAACCAAGCTAAAGTTTCTGTATTTGCCACTAATATAAAAGTGTGGTGTATAAATGAATGAACGAACGAACGAACGAATGAGTTTTCACAATAGCCTATTTCACTTCAAAGTTATTGTATATATGTCATGCGTTACTGTTTTGTTGTGTGAAGTAAATATTACTTGAATTGAACTGAATTGACTTGAATTGAATAAATGAATGAATAATATGAATAAATAAATGTTAAGTCCTTTTAAGAACAAATATAAATTTTGGGTAAAACAAATACATTATATAATATTTGTTTAAATGTACGGAAGTAATTTATGTATTATTGGTTCGGTATCTACGTGTTTTATCTCATTAAAATTAATGACCCATTTCATTTGAAATGGTATTGGTCCGCTTATCAGGCATGGAACCGTAGAGGATAATTTATAGGACTCATCTACGTTAACATAATATTTTTGACTGGTATGCATATATTATAATTATTTTATAATTCATATCGGTATTATTGTTATTATTCATGTTATTGTTATTATTATCTATTACTACTACTACTACAAAATTGCTCTTGTTATCACAATCATTACCATCACCGTCGTATTCGCCATAAAAATCATCATTCTATTAATATTATAGACTATATGCCTATTCAATAGTTCGAAATAAGGTCTAACTATTATTCTTAGTTATTTTTTCTTCACGTTGACCAGGTTACTTTCTGTATGTCCATTATTATGGCATGTGTGAAAAACAAATAGCTGGCTGCCGGTTGACAGACGGAAAGGAACGATATAAGGTGTTACGTTGTTTCTCTTCTGACTTTTTCGGTCGAGTACGTCAAAGCGCAACAGGAGGATATTATTTGGAAGACACAATAGAAGCACACGACCGTTACCGTATCAGTCCGTTAATGAGTTCAAATAATGAAAAAAAAAAAACTAACAAAATTAATAACATTAATTGTTTTGAGAATGATCACAATAAAACAGGACTTTCATATACAAAACATATGTTAATTTTATTCTACCATTAGTATTAGGCCTAATACTTTTTTATGCGCTTATAATTAAAATAATTTCATGTGGCCTTGTGAGAAAATATTTTAATCATTTTACATAGTACAGGAAAAGGTCCCAAAGGCCCAGCATCCATAATCGTACCCAGGCCCAATGGTTGCACTTTCAAACTCAAAATTACTACAAAGTTTGGCGTAGGTGATATAAGCCTAATTTAAATCAACCATTTTTAATGTACAAGAACATTTTAATGATCTCCAAATACAATAAAACATACATTTAACAACTTCACATAATTATACTATATTGAATTTTATTCTTGATATTATAAATATCTTTAAGATATTGATACATGTAATATATTTGTATTTGAATATATATTATATATTCAAATACAGTTCAAACATTAAAAAGCGTACAATTGACACAGTCCTATCTCATAGTTCTATTAGCTAAAAGTTAGGTGCATACGAACAATTAAATATTTAAAAATTGTATTACAGTAGGAATATCTTTAAAATAGTAGGAAGAAGAAAATGTATCTAAAATATAACATTGATAACAAGTGTGCTATAGTACTACAGGTATGTATATACATCAGACATTTGATACAGTACAAGTTTTGTATGTCTACCTACGGTTTGATATACAACTTCACTATAAATAATGAATTTTATTCTCAATTAATACAAAATATCTTCAAGATATCAGATGCAAGGAAATGTATCTGAATACAATTTAAACATTAACATGACGTGTATTACACTTGGTGTATCTCTAATATATCAGACACAAGCAAAATATATATAAATCAGGTTAAAACATTAATAAATATCAAAAGCCAAAATATCTTTCAGACAGATAAAGAAAATATGTTAGATAAATAAAAATATAAATTAAGGATAAAGAAAAACAAAAAAATTAAAATAATAAAGTGTATCTTTCCGAAAAATAAAATATAAATATATCAGATAAATATACATAAAAATAGAAGGTCCATAAATAAAATTAATCTGAATAAAGCTGACAATAGAAAATGAAAAATGATGATGTGCACATACAATATAGGCCTAATATAAATGTACATGTGGTATACATGGATATAATTGAAACTATTGTAGAGCTATGAAGTAGGTATAGTTATCAAGATTGACTTATATCCATTTTTTGTTATAAAGGTTGGCCAGGATCAACATATGCAGCTCTAAACAAGATTATGAGACCAATGATTTATAGGATTTTAAATTATTAATGGAATTTATGGAAATAGGCATTGGCAAAAACCTGGAACACTTCACTCTTGGTCTACATGTCCATTGTTATCAATTCAGTCCAATTAATTTATCATAGATTTAAAAACACAAAAAAATAGAAAAACCCGTGGAAAACTACTGTATAAATCTCTGTTTCGTAGTATTAACATAATTACATAAACTTTGAAAACAACTTTCTGTTTCTGATCTATAACCTTGTAAGCTATGTAAAAACGATAATTCATTACAGTATGACTACTGTTCATTGCCATTTCTACATCATTTCTTTGGCGGTTACATTTTTGTACTACACAGATATTAACCAACTACTGAACACTGAATAACTCCTCTATGGCGTTTTGTTTAAACAATATTTTTACCATCTGGTAAACTGATTCTATCAATGCAATAACAAAATTAAGGCTTAAAATTCAAGCATGAAATGAAATTTTGTAAAATGGATTTTTAATGATTGTTTTGAAATTGATCAGTTACCAGCGCTTCCATAGCTAACACCAGCGACACTCAACAATTCTGAAATAAATGATAATATACATTTAGATTACTGGTCTATGATTTCATAGACTTATTATTTTGCGACACATTTTATAAATTAATTGTGTTAATTATTAAATTAATTATTAAGTAATTTAAATATTAGAAGGAAATAATTTTAGTTAAAAAATATGTTAGGTAAAACCTGGAAAATAAACCCCAAAATTCCAATTGTGAAAATGTTGAAGAATGCATGAAAACAAAGTGAGAAAATGTAAAGTGATCCAAAATGGTTTGTAATGTACAAGTCAATGCATGCATAAAGACAATAGAAAGAATATTGGTTTTTAAAAAAATCTATCAGTAGGCCATCCAAGCATAGCGCACATAAGCCAAAACACATTTGTGCCAGATAAAGACAACTTCATTAATTATTGTTATTTATGTCAGTAGTATTAAAGAAATTTTATGTCTGTAATTCTTATATTAACATTAATCAAATATTTTGAGCCCTCAAATCCTGTGCTTCTCCTGTGCCCTTAAAATATGCATATCATAAACGATTTAAATATTTTTCAATCATCCTTGAAATATTCCAATTAAAATATTTTATGTCTATAAAGTCAACCTATTATATATATATATATATACATATATATATGTATGTGTATATATATGATAAATTTTGGGCTTTGAAAGAAAGATTGGTTTACACTACTAGAACACTTTAGATATATCTGACACAAGAACGAAGAATGCTAGGTCTATGCTAGTCAGCAGGTTCGAATTTTAGAGTAAATTAATCAAGATTAAATGCGTAAAGGTAATTGTCATAAATGCCTCTATGATTGTCATAAATGTCTACAATGATACAAGGGGCCTCTCTGGAGTGTCAATCAAACCCAACAACTGACCAATCAGAGTAAGGCTATGAATACGTACGTCCTACAAACAAATGTTTTGTAAAACAAACGCATGTTTACGTACATTTACCCTATTGCTTTTTGGAACCTTAGCAACAATATCTAAGCGAAAAGGTCCATTGTCATAAAAATCAAACATTGCAACAATTGACATATACACCCCAACACAGCAGAACTTTTTCAAAAGAAGGGAAAAGAGAAAATAGTTGAACAGCTGCTACTTGCATTGTGTCAAATTTCTAGCACTTGAGTTTAAAGTGTGATAGTAGTGTAAACCTTGCTTAAGTTAGTTAAATGGAGCAAAGAATATATGCACTACAGTGGCCTAATCTAGGTTTCTTGTATTTCATTTATTTTTGTATTTTATTATTCAAACATCCAACAGTTTAAACACTAATTACAGAATCCGCATTCAATGTAGGGAAGCAGTAATACTGTAGATGTGTTAGCAAGCACAAGCAATGCTAGTAAACTTGATTCGCACTAGAGAATTCTGCAGCTATTATGCAAATAACTTCCGAAGTGAAACTCTTGAAATTAGACAGGTACTTACAGAAACGCTCCAGCAAACTTTTGTAATACTTGTATTAATGAAAATAAGGAAATTCCATTTCAAGTCAACCAAAAAAAAAATGGTCAATCCCTTGGATTTTGTTCAAATTTTAGTATGTGGTTGGGACCCATGAGAAAAAATCAGAAATGAAAAACATTTTATCTAGCCTCATAATTAGCGAGATACATGCTAACGAAGTTTCAGCTAATTAGCGATACCCTGCGACTGATCATATCAACTCAATAGTACCTATTGACTTAATTTTGGTGTCATTTTAAAGCTATGAGTAGCTCTATAACTTTCTAAATAAATGCTTAGAAAGTTCACATTTGAATAAAAAAAATATATATATATAAATCTTTATTTTCTTCAAATCATGCTAAAGCTACATTATGATGTAAAGAACCTTCCCTTTTAAATTTGGTGATGGGCGCTCTAACAGTTCCTGATCAATGAGCAATTATATATGGCATGTCCATTCAGAATCGCCAGAAAGAAAGAATAAAAAGATCTCTGACAATAACAAGAGGTGATCCGCTCGTTAAGCGGATCACCAATGAAAGCTGCAGAAGCATTGCACTGTCAACAGTTGATGACGTCGAAAAGATAAACAAATGTAAGAGATCCCTTCCTCTATATCCTTCTTCACAATATTTTCCAAGCATTCTCCCCTTTCCTCTTAACAGTTTCTTTCATTACCTTCAGTTTCCTCATTCCCTAGTCTTTTTCTCCTAATCCCTTAAACATTCTCACCTTTCTTAGGATAATCTTTCTCTAGCCTACCTTTTCTGTTCTTTATTCCTTTTACTTATTATATATAACAATCAAACTACATGCACACAGGACTATAAGCAATAAATAATTCAATAAAATTAGGTCAAAGAAAGCTTAATATAAGCTCACAAAAAGAGTAGGCTCTCCCAGTGATTAATGTTGATAATTTACAAAATAAACACAAAATAAGATTTCAAATCAAAGATAGTTTCTTCATTCTTTGCTATTGTCCCTATCTACAGTAGTATCATTGTTTACAATTCGTATATGTTTACCCTTATAAAATGATAGTAAAATTTCATTCTCTAAATAAACTGGAAATTCCAAAATATTTAATATTGACTGCCGTTCTGAGAGGGTGGTAAAAATACAGCTAGTTAAAGTCACATCAAGACGATAATAAACAGTTACAGCTGAATTAATTAATAATCTATAACTATAAAATGGTATGCCAAACACTTTATGGTTTCTCACATTCCTCTACTATTTTGCTCTATTTTTGTATTTGTGTACAATTATGATTATTGAACACATGTAAAATACTAATTTATGAAAGAAATGGTCTGTATGATTGGACTATAGACTACTACAGGCTCTGAAAACAATATAGTTTAATTACTTTGTCTCTTACGACTCATGCTCACTTGAACTCCTGTGCGGTGCTGCAAGATAATGTTCCTCACCTGCATATACATAATTATTATATTATTAATGATAAAAAGATGATTTTAAATATTTAAAGTATGCCTGATAATAAAGATGATAGTAACAATACTATAATTTATATAATAATAATAATAATAATAATAATAATAATAATAATTAATAATAATAATAAATACTTATTAGTGGTCAAAGCAATGCCTGTCCTCTTGTGAACAAAAACGGAATGTGGTGAGATATATACAGTATGGTACTGTACTGGATTAAAATAGGGCTCTACAGCGCCTACGTCACAATTTTTCTCACAAGTACATACACGATAGGGAAATGCTTGAGTAACAATTTTAAAATAATATGAAAACAACTTAATAAAACTTTTTTAGATTTTATTGTAAAAAAGTTGTCCATAAAAACTAGTTTGTACCCTATGTATTTGTATAGAACATAGGGAAAATTCCCCAATTATATTATCATTATCAAACCAACGTTTACGTTTCAGCTGCTGCATGAGCATTGTTGAGGTGTTTGCTGAAGCCACTGCGGGTGTCTTTCATTTAAAAACTTCTTTATAACTTCTGTCTAACGGTAAGCATTTTTCAAGCATTGATTATGGATGCAATGGCAGGGGCAGCGGAAGCAATTAGGTATTGGTCAGGCAAGGGAGTTCAGGATTTAGCACTTCTAGACGCTCTGAAATACCCAAATGATACCCAAAAGGAAAAGAATTACCCAAATAAAAAGCCAAATGAATCCGAATTACCCACATGAAACACACAATAAACAAATACATAATGTACAAACAATAGAGATTTTAAATAATTAATTAAATATAGGCCAATATTAAACAACTTCAAGATGATTAAAAGATTAAATATAGGCTATCAAGAAATACAAAAAAATGTTAGAAATTTAACAAATGAAATTAAATTAATAACGTTTGTTTTATTTTTTTTTTAAACTTAGAAATCTAATTAGTGTATGAACAACGATGATCCCAACATGAAATCTATTCCAAAGAAAAGACTAGTACTAAATGTTAAGTACCTTCAGTTTGATAAAATTATTAAAGGTTGAGGACTTAAATCTGAGTGCCTTCTAACAGTTCAAGGCAACCAATCTTCTGAGCGGAATGCATTTCATGATGAGTAGAGATGACTGTGATGATTTGTCGGTAAAATGGAATGGTCTAACCACTACATAACAGTTGAAGCCCTACTGTGCTTAACATGCACTGACACAGTTTAAATAATGCTCATGCAACCCCAATTTTTTTATATCATGCAATATGCAGGGATACAGATTATTGTTTTCAAATAGTTTTTAAAAATATTTTTATGAACTTTATACTAATTTTTTAATGATTTTCATTTATAAGTCTGATTTTGCTGCTGATATCTAAGTTTTGGCAAAGTATGATCTGGAAAGGATATCGTACTAGGCTTGCATTTTAACCAAGGGCTGACAAAGGGTGCAAGTCTGTTAGCACATTTTGTAGCAAAACCTCTCTTTTTAAATGAATGATACAGTTGATCAGACCACAAATGCAACTTTCTTTCAAGCTTTGTCCAGCCAAAAGTTTTCTGTGACAAACATCAATGATTTACCAATTACAGTACATAAGCATGGTGATGTCATGGCACATCAATTTGCAAATCACATCATTCTGCCACAGAAAACCTGATAGTGTTGATATACTTTTAAACTATAATATGCAGTACAATAATGGAGATTCAATAGGAAGGGCCATATCTATCATATATTTGATTCAGATCAAGTAACTCTCCACAGGTTTAAACAAAACATTAAACAAATAACAGGATCTACGAACTTTAAAATTATTAGGTATTCCCGGTATGTCCCTTTGCTATAGAAATTAGAAGATTATTGAATCTCCACCACTGTTAATTTAGGCTATGTTGAGACACAAGTTCTACTAATAAAGTGGTGTTAACTTGTGCTCTTGGCGAAGTAGACACCAGTAATGTGCAATGCCACTAAGTTACGCCAGCCATCAATAATTTGCAAGTGCTGGTCAAAATTTGTATGTCAAGACCGGTGTTAGTTGTGTGTGGTGATCACTTAAGTCTGACCATAGCCTCAAGATATGTAATGCGCATGCTGTCCAAAATCAGCCGTTAAAGTTAAAAAAAAAATTTAACATATTTTCATTATGTTATGTTATTAAAATGAAAAGAAGTAATATTCAAATGTTAATTTAATGTAATCATAATCAATAATATATAATTTAATCAATTAAACTATGTAATTTCTATGAATTATTGGAAATTAAACATATACTGTCTGATAAAAAAACTCCTCAAATATTAAAATAATACATTACATTGCTCATAAATAATTTACCTAGAGCATTATACTTTGATGGGTTTACAGACTTTTAAGACTAGAATATGGGAGCCATATCATTAATGTATTTGTAAATTTTAGACAAAAAATATTTTCTAATTCAATTTTTAAATTGAAAACAAACCAAATATTGAATTTTATTTGCCAAGATTATAATATCAAATCACAGAAACTATTCTGTTAAGTTGCTACCTCCATCAAATTGAAAATTCAGCAACTATATTGTTGAGACGGCTTAAATGTCTCATCCAAATGATGGTGCCCTCCGGTACTGGTATGGGCATGTATAATGTGCCTCTTCCTTGAGGTTATAAAGTGCACTTCTTTTCCCTGGTCATTGGGTCCACATGCTTTAAGTGTTGCTGCTGGTAATCAGAGCAGGAGAAGGCAACCCCACCAGGTACCCATTTATACTCCTGGGTGGGAGAAGCAATGCAGATGAAGTGGCTTGCGCAAGGACACAAGCAAACGCACAGCGAGGGATTGACACCCCGACCTCAAGGTTGGGAAACCAAACCGTTCCCACTGCAACAAATCGTTTCCACAACCAACTACAAAGCAATGATCTGGAAGGTTATCCATGGTTTAACGCACACACAGTGGCGCCACAAATTTAGGTGGCAGAACTAAAGCAGCTGCACTCTACAATTGTATTTAATAGTAGACTAACAGTAGACAGTATATGTTTAACTTATTAATGTATTTACTGTTATTCATATGCTTCCAAAAGGGGAATACCTGCATCACTTTCTCTAGCAGCTATGCCACGTTTTGGATGATTGTTTTCGATCAACAAGATGTAGATGATCGCAGCAATAAAAGCACCAGCTATCGGACCAAATATTTGAGCAAACACCCACCACTTTGTCTTACTTGAATTGAAGAAAAAGAAATAGTTTATTGTCAGTAATTTACTTCCAATATCTATTTTGATTATACAAAAAAATGTATTGGATTCATCATACTATAATATTACTACAGTCACAGCTAAAAAACAATGCCAAATTAAAAAAACATTTACATGAAAACTTAATACACAACTTTTATAATTGCTTTAAAATATATATAGATTTAATTAAGGCAATGGTTTAAAAATTATGTTAAAATAGTGAACAAACTACCCAGTGCCCATAATATAAAAACAATGGTCTCAAGGTTTAAAAGCAGAATGACTATGAAGTTCTTGCAAATATTTGGGAACGTACTGGGTATTCAGTACGATAACAAATCAGGTAGGCCAAAACATCACTTCTATCATAGAGAAAGAAAAGGAGTCACAACACAGCAAGACCAAACAATAATTGATCCTATTTACCGCAAACCCTAAGGCACGATCAGTGATGACTATTTAATGACCTTGATAATTAATTTGGTTGTAAAACGATTGCTGGATTATGCCCGCAGGGCAATTCAGCATGCGCACAATACATTGCTATGGACATTCGCTGTAGTACTCTTTGCTGCACACTCCAGCTAGCAAACTTATGTTTGTGTACCTGTTTACTGCAGATCGTAATCAACTATAACTTGCCAATTCAAATGTATTTCTATTTGCGAGGGATACAAAAACTATCAAGAAAAAGTATCGTAAATACTTGTGTTGTATCTCTATGATTATATAAATTAGCTATCCAGACGTGACGGAACTAGGGGGTGCTGTGTTATGGAGAGTAATGTGTGACCGAAAATGGTCTGCAGTCAGTTGGTTGTTACCATGCGCCAGTGATGTTGGAGTATATAGTACAGCAATATGAAACTATTAGGCCTAATGAATGAATAAAGTTCAGAGTTTGTCGTGTAGTGAAATGATTATTTCACATTTTAAGTGCTCCCTAAAAATTCATAAGTCTAAGCTAAATTACGGTGATTAATTTAATTAGCGAAGATATGGAGACAATTATTTCGAATCCCTCTTTCCAAGAGGGGATGCAAATGATGATTTGTGAAAATGAGTACGCCGTACACTTTCGGAAGAAAAAAAAAAAAATAAAAAAAAAAAATAACTAAGAATAATTCATTTGCAGAGGTACCTTGTTTAAGTATTATACAATGCTAACAATGCGGCTGTTGTAGCCCTGGCTTGGGCAAGGCATCCATGTGCAAAGCAGCGGTGTTTGTTTATCCATGAAAAAAGCACGCCACCGGGAAAGTTTTCCTTACCAGGAAAAGGTGACGTATCTAGCTTATGACGTATGCATGCTAACTAATGTGAGTGTGACGTCACCAGAAAATGAATATTTTCTTTTATAACCAAAATATTAATAACTACAAAGTTTATGGGCGTAAATTCCCTTAATACGAATGAAGTGTTGCACAATCTCCTTGCCATACAAATTACAGCTCCCACTGACGTCTCAGTCGAGAAATACTGGTAGCTGTTTTTCTCGCAAATTCTGACTACAAAACCATATCCAAATTTCACGTTCCACTTTTGACCCTGAGTTGTGCTTCGCACTCGCCGCTGGGGGTGGCTTTCTGGGAATCCTGCGTCAAAAGTCTCAATTCTGTAAAATTTTCTAAATGCATGACAGATTTCTAGCCTAGCTTAGGCCCTAATATGGCGTGCAGAATATTTTACAACCTGGCATACAAATAAATACAAATACAAATATTCTTTAATGGCAATCTGCATATTACAAAAGATAAAATACAAATTGAAGTTTAACAAATATAAAAATATATATAAATATATATGAACAATTGGGAAATCCCTCGTGAAAGATAAAATAATAACCACAACACAGTAACTTATCATAGCAACAGTAAAAACACGATAAAATTATTATTTATCTAATATATAGAAAATTGGAGACCAATTTCATTGTTGAATACTGATTATAAAATTGCTGCTCATGCATTATCTTGTAGACTCCAAACTGTACTAAAATCATTCATCAGTACTGACAAAAAGGTTACATTAAGAAAAGATTTATAGGCAACATAAGGCTTGTAGAAGAAATAATGCATTCTTACAAAGAACACAAAGAAGGTGCTCTACTATCCTTAGATTCAACTCAGTCGATAGAAATTTCATGTTATCTGTTTTAAGGCATAAAGACACTTACCTTAATTCTGCCCATGCAACGACTATTAAACCACTAAGATCTTGGAGTGGGTTGAAATAGAAACGTGCATAATAACTGAATGCGATTCCAACCAAAAATAAAATCAACCCAATCATAAGGGGCTCAAAACGTTTGGATGGTTTGATGGTCTTGAGTGGTTCGTTATGCTCAGTGCTGAGTGAGTCATCTTGCTGTTTATTCTTCTGTTCATCAATGATTGCCATGACACCGATGGTGAATATTCCTGTTTTCAGAGCCTTCGGGGAAAACATGAAAGGTACATTAAGATAAAACATATTCACTCATTAACCAAATTAATCACTATGGCATCACAAAATCCTTTCCTGTTGGTCCGCTTGTTGGGTATATTACCAAAAATTATTCTAAAACTGTGAGCGGTTTTGAATTATTCTCCAAAAACTTAAATACTTTCATACAACACTTTATGTAGTATATATCATTAATAACATGGATACATTGTGGGTTAAGACATTTCATTTGACACAGTGATAACAGAGGCCAGAAGAGTGAGGTTTGAGACCATCTTTTACAGTACAGTAGCAACTACACATTATTCTTTGGCTATGTTCAGACTCAACAATTTCGCTAGCATATGACAATCCACCAACAAACCCCAAATTTAGAGTATGCCACTGACCTAATATGACGGTCATGCATCAATGATTTTGAACACTTGTGCTGATGTTACACTAATCAATCAGTGTGAACTCGCTAGTTACATCATAGACCAAGGTAAGCCTAGCGTTAGTTACGCTAGGTGCACCTCTCAAGTCTGAACAGCCATTATACCACGAATATTTATGCTGACTCTGTACATTTATACAGTAGAACCCCTCCTTTGGGACAACCCTATTCAGGAAAAACCCCTATTAAGGGGGACACTTTTCCATAAAATGAGGTGGGATATATATTTTCACTATATCCAAACCCTATTAAGTGATGGGGACACTTTCTGAGTGTGTCAAATGGTCAAATAACCCCTCATAAGGTGACACTTTTCAAATTAAAAATTTGTTTCCATTGTATCTCAACAACTACAGCAGTTTTAAAATAAGAAAAATTCATTCAACTTTATATTTTGACACTTTTTAAGCAATACAGTAGACCAGAATTTTTCCTCCTAATTCCTTACAGTTACAGTTGATTTTGCCTTTGTTAGGTATAGATTACAGTCTTTTATTTTATTAATTTGTTGACTTTGGCATACAGTACACGGTTTATTATATTTTGTATCTATTTTATTTAATTTCTGCATTTAACTTTTGCTTTTTATGATGTACCTTTATGTGTAATTTGTTAATTGTAAATAAGGTATCTCACGGCCATAATGAAAAACAGCATTGTATTTGTTGATTTGTGCTTCGTGAATAAATAAAGTTTTACTACTACTACTACTACTACAGTGAACACCGGTATAGCCCTACTGTATGTGTTACTTTAAACCAATCTTGTCAATTTTGATCCTAAACCATGGGGATTTCTTTTTGTGTACTTTCATACAGGATTCTAATCCATACCATAACAAGCACCCTTAATTGCAAGTTGTTACTCTATTCATGCTATATCCATCCAATAGACACTCATTAAAAAAAACAAAAAAACTGGTCATTGCATAGTGTATTAATAATAATAATAATAATAATAATAATAATAATAATAATAATAATAATAATAATAATAATAATGTTATACTTATATAGCGCATATTGCACATTGCCCCTATGCGCTTTACAAAGAAAAAATATAGGCCAAACAGAGAAAATGCAAATAACAATAAAATAATAACAATAAAATAAAAATAATAGTCATAATAACAATAATAACAATGAGACTAAACTACCCCTAATAGTGGGAACATTTACAAACTATTGTTGTTTTAATTACACTTCTGCCGATTTCATATTATAAATGAATTTTATTTGCATTGCAAATTATTGCTATAAATTAGTTCTAACTAGTGCGGTGCGGTGGTGGGAGAGTGTAATGGGTTGGCAGAAGGGGTGGGGTGGAGTCAGGAGAAGGGGTGGGGAAAGGGTGAGTAGAGGGAGTGTGGGAGATGGGGTGGGCTAATGGGGTTGGGTCATTGAGGTGGGACCGAAGGGGTTGTGAAAATGGAATAAGACGATGGGATGGGGAGATGGGATGGGGAAATGGGGTCAAGAAATGTGGTTCCCTCCTGCGCACACACCCTATTCAGGAGCAGATCCAGAGAAGTCCAAATTGTGGCTATTGGGGGCATGGCCTGCCTGACAAGGGGCTCTGCTGGTGCCACCCCTGCATATTAGTTCAATGTGACACTTATTATACAAAAATATGTTTGTAATATCATGGGAAATATATAAATGATTTTCACAATTTAAAAATTTTATGATCAAAAGTGTCTTGCTTATATCGTGCATCAAAAAGTTGGAATGAACTTCCAAATGAAATACTGTAAAATTAATTTTAAAGAAATAACTTTAACTTTCTATTTTGATGGTTTGTTTAACTGCACAACTTTGAAAACCAGTACTCACATACCGAAAGTGTCTGCAGTCTAAAGAAAGAATAAAATAAAATAAATGCATACATATCATAGATAGTTCATATAGTACCTGGTCTATGAGAGCTTTCCAAAAATGGTCACCATTTACAGATGAACTAAATATAAGGCTTGTTGTTGGTTGATCTATATAGTGTTTAATTTCAGCTTTTGGAGAGAGGTTGAAAAAGAAGTTAGTTACTGTATATTCATCCACATTGTATAAAATAATTTTCACAATATTTTACGTATCATGATTCTGATAAAAAATTTGTAAAAAGATTTCTAAGTAATTATAAATGATGATGGTGGTAATGATGGTAGTGAAAATACAAATCATGACCCAGATCATTATGGTGAAGATTGTGTTGATGTTCATTATGAATCTTACCTTTATATAGACCATAAATACAAGATGCAGCCAAAAATGCTCCTACAAATTGTGCTAACACATATGGAATAATATCCTTTGCCTTCATTTTGCCCAAGACCCAGAACACTAGAGTCAGCGCCACATTCAAATAGCCGACTGTAACACAACAATATGTAAACTTTAAAATGCAACAAACTAGGTCCTAGCAGAGAGTTGTTATAGTGACTGGTCCTAGATATTAAAATACAGGTCTCCCTTCAATTAAAGACCACTTTCAGGACCACGGTTTCCATAGTTTTTAGCAGCTTCGGTCTCTCATTAGAATAATATTAGAATTAACTTGGAACCACAGGATAGTGGTCTTTAATTAGAGGTGGTCCTAAATTGGAGGGGTCTTTTATTGGAGGGAGACCTTTATTTAAATTTACAAGCTAAACAATTTATGAATTACAGGGGTCTGAACTCAATTCCTCTGGGTGTCTTCCAGAAATCAGCACATTTTTTGTTCCCGAAAAAGCAAGTGTCGGACACATGCGTCTCCCCCAAAATTGACATGTTTGTACTAATGTCTATATACTATAATTAATTGTCTTTCTGTAGTTAGCTGGATATTATCATCACTTGCAGCACAATATAAGATATATAAAAAATGTGTTAAGATAGCAATGCTTTAAAATTTAAATACTGTGATATTCTAATTTGTTTATCATACCATTTTCAATACAAATGTACAAGGCAATGCTGTAGCCAAAAGAAATTCCAAGGTTGATGTACAAGATGTCACTTGAATCATAGGTAGTATTTTTACTGCTGCCATCCTTAAAATTGTAAAATGTTGCAGAGGCTACTGTTCCACTTGCTATGAACTGTAAAGATACCATGAGTGAGAACGAGGTGAAAACAATCAGGATATGTCAGCTATCTAGATACATTATGTCACCTCTCTAGACCATTGGTACCCAACCCTTATCGTTTGCGGAAACCCTGTGGACATGCCAAAATCTTCACTGACCCCTATGTCCAAATAGTACTCATTGTCCATATCCCAATAATAAGCTTAGGCCTACATATCCAAGATGATTCGCCACGAAAGAACATTAAACAGTGGCGAATCCTGGAATTCGGATAGAAACCATCTCATCTCCACCATGGTTGGGGCTGAGGTACAAAATCTTTGATCTATGCCACTTCTAGATGGCTGGAAAAGGCACTGTCAGACTAAAAATTTGAAGGCAATTTTCTTAATCCCATCCCCCATTTAATTTTTAATGTGTAAAATTTTGGGGGACTTGTGGTTGAGTAAGATTATGGATAGAAGATGATTCTCCAAATTCATAACTTTTTACAGATAGGGTATTTACACTACTTCAGCCCCACCCTGATTATGGAAGAGGTAGGAAATTTTTACGTGTATGGCACTAGATAGATGACACTGTCTGACTCAAAATTTGAATGTAATATTCTGTTATCCCCCGTTTCATTTTGTCAAATTTGTGGGCTCCCTCCTGAATATCCAGGAAATACAAGAAACAAGATGTACATTACCTGAGGATTGACACTATCAAGTGGCTCTCCTATACTAAACATAATTATTTACACAGAGAATACATGAAAGACTAATTTAAAAGGTTCCTATCAGGTCACCAATAAAATATTGGAATTAAAATCTAATGCCAATTAAAACAATTTAGTCATGCCTGTCAAAGGTATTTCATTATTGTCACGGCATGATCACATTACTGTAAGACAAGAAAAATAATAGAATCATGAAAAAGTTGTTTTACTGTAATAATTTAGCGTACCCCCAAATTGTTGCGGACCCCTGCGGACCCCTTTGACTTGGCAGATCTCCAATTATTTTTTGCTGACCCCAGGTTAGGAACCACTGCTCTAGACCCCTCTAATTACGAGACCCCCTCTAATTTTAAAACACTTTTTCAAAGTATAAGCCTACCCAACTAACCACATATCTTCGAACACTGAGCTCACGCTCTATGAGACCCCTCTAATTCGAACCAAGAGTTTTTAAACAATTCTCTGCAATTTGAAAAATTGAACTTCAACATTAACAGATGTACTGTATTTTTTCATAAATTTTAGTTTATCTTTTTGTGCATTTTTCAGGATTTTAAAATACTAGAGTAAGGGAGTGAAGCCTAAAAAATATGATTGTAAAAAAAACTTTGTTGTTTATTTTGTTTGTTACTTTTGCTGTACTTTGTCTTTTTAATAATTACATTATACAATTATTACAGACTGTATCAAATCAAGACCACCCCTCTAATTCCATAGTAGACTGAAATTTGGCACACAGCTAGTTGAATCAAAGATCACCACATAGGCTACGTTACACAATGGGGAGAAGTGAAAACTGTCGGGGAATGCTCCCCCACCCCCACCCCAACACACTAACAGTGATCATCTGATTCCCTGGCCTGGGGCAGATTGCTATATAACGGTCTTTTAACTGGTAGTCTTAACTCCTTGAATAAAGCCCGCATTTATCGAGTTATTCTGTTGAAAAAAACTGAATTTTTATTTCCTTATTTTTAAGTCTGAAAGTGCAATTTCCAGGAATGTAGAGATCTGTGTTAGAATTTGCTCACTTCAACCCAAATCACTGGTGAGTATACTTTTTGTGAGAAAGAAATGGAAGTACACAATATTTATGTCTTCCCCCCCCCCCCACGCTGGTCTCAACCCCCAGTTTAAAAAGGTTGAATACCAGGGACTAGACTGAGGTTAGTGACACCTGACCACACCCACTTATTATGTCGGACCCCTGTCGTAGGTGAGCCACAATAGTGAGCTTTCGCATCAACGACGAACGGGCTCAAGGACAGTAATCTGAAACGAAAATCGATCTGCGCATGTACGACCCCCACGCAGCTTCTCGTTTCTTGGCAAAATCACGAACAGTTTTAGGCCAATTTATCGTCCGTGCACGAACTTCTAACTCAAGCAGCCAATCACATGTTGGTAAAAGATCATACATAAAGATCTAGGCCTAGTGAAAACAGAGCCGAACAAGCCTAAATACCTATTGCTTCCTAGGGCAAGGACGGATGGTAGTTAAATTTCTTTGTTGGTAGCCTGGTTGTTTGTATGTTGTAATGTAGGCCTATTTCCAGGAATGTATTTACTCTAGCCTCAGACAGGCTAGGAAACGTTGACTTACAACAAAAGCAAACATTCCAATGAATTCAGAAACAAATTTCCTGCAAAACGTCAACTTCCATGATTTCAGGTTATCTTCCTGATTTGGTGGATTTGCACAACTGCAGTTTTTAATCCAAGCTTCGTACCATAACCCCATTTTTCTGGTTAGAAAGCGAAGCAGCGATAAAACGGGAAATCCCCGCTCATCGATGCGATCCAGTTGAAACCAGTTCTTATTATTGTTTACGAAGTGACTAATTATGGAACGCCAAAAGGGCAACCTTGAACACTTCAACGATTATACAAACAGTACCAACGAATACACAGGCACTCCAATGAATGTACAAGCACTCCAATGAATATTGAAACACTCCAACGAATATAGTCTTATACACATCTAGATGTGTATAAGAGACAGGGATTGGACATTGTGTTGACTCTGCATTCGCTGTGAGACACTAACGAATATAGAAACACTCCAACGAATGTACAAGCACTAACGAATATAGAAACACTCCAACGAATATAGAAACACTCCAATGAATGTACAAGCACTAACGAATATAGAAACACTCCAACGAATTACAAGCACTCCAATGAATGTACAAGCACTAACAAATAGTTTGGTTTTGAGGTTTGAGCATGGATGTATTTGACCCCCAGAATTGGGGATTACGCAACCATAATAGACAAATAACCTCCTACTAATGAAAATTTATAGCCCAGAGTAGCTCAGTCTCTGACCTGAATGACCTTGTACACTCTCTTTTCTTGATTTCATGAATCCCTGTGCTTTGAGGAACAGCTATTTTTAAAGAACTATTTAGTTTTGATATACTGTATTAAAATACTAATAAACTAATTCTTTTATCACCATATTTGTTTTAAAATTACTGATATTTGTTTTGTGTTATTAACTATACTGTATAAAAAAAATGTTACGGTTGTGAATTGATAATTGTTGTCAGAGCTCATACCATATTGTAATTCTATTTTCTATTTTATTCACCGCTACAATTGCCATAAAAAACGGACATATCTCAAAAGCACACACACACACACACTA